TCACAGGCCATCCAGCCACAACAGGGGTGAGGTCCTGGTTTCAGTGGCCAGGTGGGAGGAGCTGGAGGACCGTGGATGAAACACGCAGGCACAGAAACAAGGGCTGTTCATGTCTGCCACCTGGGGTGGTATCATGACCTCGGAGAAACTGAAACCTGTGCCCTGAGGCTCACCCGCACTCACCCTGATGAACAGCAGGAATGGGACCTTTCAGAGCAGCCACTAGGGAGGACTCTGAATGTTCCCAGCTCAAAGAAAGGATGACTAATGGCCAAAGTCTGAGGTGATGGACCTGCCAATCACCTGATCTGATCATCACACGTTACACATGGAGATTGAGCGGCCACTATACCCATTGAGGGTGTCAACTGAAAGGAAAATATGTGTTAAAAAAGGAGAATGCTGCAGCTTCTGTGTGGTCCTCTGCTTCGGGGGAGTGATTTCCTAGTTCCAGGGAGGGTCCTGACCATGGCAGTACAAGGGTGGGCAGAAGAGGAAGTAATTTCAATTCACCACGGAGGGGCTGGGGCTGGGGAGGATTTGAATGGGCAGTGTCAAGGGAGGTTGCATTTGTCTGTCTTCTGTTACTATGCCAAAATGCTTGAGGTAGGGTGGCTTTTTAAAGGAAAGAGGTTTTGCCGGGCTTGGTGGCATGCACCTGTAATCCCAGTGATTCCAGGGACTGAGGCAGGAGGTTCAAGGCACAAGTTCAAAGCCAGCCTCAGCAACTGGGCAGGGGATGTGGCTTAGTGGTAGAGTGCCCTTGGGTTCAATCCCCAGCACTGCATAAAAAGGAAAGGGGTCTGTTTAGCTCACAGTTCTGGTGGTCTAAGATCCAGGGGACACATTCGGGGACTGCCTTCTCGCAGCAGAGCTCTAAGGCAGCGTAGGGCACTATGCAGCAAGACAGGGAGTGTGCGTGTGCGTCCTCCAGTCTTCCCTCATGTCCTATGTTCCTCAAGTGTCACCAGGACTCCTCCTCCAGGCCCCACCTCTGAAACCTCCCAGGGGGGCTCAGTCTCAACACAGGACACACACAGAGGGTGGTCCTCACACCACGAGACAGATGAGACAGATGGGGGCCCAGGCACTGCTGGAGTCAGGAGGGAGTCCAGTCACACAGCTCCCCAGGGTGGAGGTCCCTGCGCCTAGAGCCTGGGGACATGGGGCTGCAGGCTGCACTTGGGCACTGCCCACTCCTGCTATGGGCTCTCCAACCCTTACTCCAAGCACCTGGCACCATGAGCCCCCTGAGCTTCCTGGCCAGGTGTCCACCAGGAGCTGATGGGAGCTGGGGACAGGTATGGCTGGAGTGGGAAGCAGTGCCCCCGCCACTATCTCATGAGCCAGTGAGGTCCCTCTCTGGGCAGCATGACACACCCAGTGTGGCAGCAAGGCAGAGGCCCTCAGAAAGCCTGGCCTGGGCCTGCAGCTGGCCTCCTGGATGCCAGTTCTCTCTGAAGCCCGTGCTGGGGGCTCTGCAATGCCAGGGCAGCGGAGTCCCAACTCCCAGGTGCAGCCTGTCTCCTCCGCTCAGCACCCCAAGCCAGCGTCACAACTGCCACTCACACCAGGCAGGCCACCACCCCAGCTTTGCAGAGTAGGCCACTCAAAAGTGCTGGGGCCCAGGGAAGTCCTGCTTCTAAGAGGCCAGAGAAGTGCCCCCTGGTGGAGGAGAGGGCAGAGTGCCACTACGCAGCCACTGCTTTGGAGTCCTTGGAGGAAACCACGAAGTGGGAATTAGAACCCAGAGATGTGCCCGGACTTCAGCCCAGGATGCCACAAAGTCCTCAAGCACAGCCGCCAAGCTGAGGGCCAGGGTGAGGCCTGCCCACGCACTGGGCTCTCCCCTGCTGCAACCATCACACCATGCACACCCCAGAACCCCGCAGACACATAAAGGGCCTCGTCTCTTTACAAACTGAAGCTGGGAGCAGGGGAGTGTGCCCATGATCCTAGAGCCTCGGGGTTGAGCCAGGGGGCCAAAGTTCAAGGTCAGCCTGGGCAACCTGATGAGACCCTACCTCAAAATAAAATAAAAAGGGCAGGTGCAGCTCAGTGGTAGGGGACACTGGAGCACTATGAGGTCCTGGGTTTGATATTTATTTGAGGTACCACAAATAAATAAACACAACAAGCTAAAGAATCAACATCCCATCTCTGAAACAAAGTGGGTTCCCTTTAAGGCACTCTAGCCGCGTCCTGAACGTTGGCTCCGAAAGTGCTACCACACAGGCACGTGCTCTGCCGGGTGGGGTGCGAATGCCCCAGTTTGGGGCGTGGTTCCTCCAGGAGCCATGGTCAGTCCAGGCACCGCAGAGCCATCACACACGGGGAGGCCTGGCAGCTGCTGCTTCTCATAGGCAGCCTCTGTGGCTGCAAGAGACCCCTCCTGGTCCATGGGGCTGCGCCTACAGAGCCCCTCCTGGTCCATGGGGCTGTACCCACAGAGCCCCTCCTGGTCCATGGGGATGCACCCACAGAGCCCCTCCTGGTCCATGGAGCTGTGCCCACAGAGCCCCTCCTGGTCCATGGAGCTGTGCCCACAGAGTCCCCTCCTGGTCCATGGGGCTGCGCCCACAGGGGCACAGTGGCTGGAGCACCCTCTGCACCAGCTGCATGGTCAAGTGTGTTCCTCTGCTTTGACGGGTGCTGGAGGTAGTGCTGATCCCGGCTTGGTCGAAGCCTGACTCTGGCTCAGTGCCATGCTGTGCCCACTCCCCAGGTGCCTGGCAGCTCTGCTCACTCGACAGTGAGAAGCCACTCTCCCTCCAGGAGCACCCACAAGTGCCATGGATGTGACCCAGGAAGACAGAGTCACATGCTGACTCTCCTTTGGGGGGCTCCAAAGTGTCCGTGGCTCCCCAGGCCCAGTGCAGGTGGATGACAGGCCAGGGGAAGGGTCCAGATGTAGTTAGAGCTGGTCATAACTGATTGTGGCCAAAACCCACGGGACTTGCCATGTAAAACCATAGCTCTGTAAACACCATAGAGCCAGATAGCGGAGCTTCGTTTCAGTCTCCTGCCAGAAAATAAGCCCAGGGACAGCAGAGAATGATCCTTCCATCTCCTTGCCTTCCCAGGGCTGTCACTGGGACACAGCAGGTGTCCCGTGAATGTCACATGGAATGTGTTTATGTATTGAAGTGCTGCAAGAACCCTTGTGTTCAGCTGCCCTTTGGGGCTGCATGACCCCTCCCTGGTTGAGATCCTGTGATCTCAACTCTATTTGACCAGGTACCTCCAGGAACTGAAGCGACACTTATCACCCACCAATCCCACAGGCAGGGTGCAGTCTGAATGTCCAAGCCTTACCCACTGACTTCTGTATGCATGGCAGACGTGGATCACCCAGTCTGTGGCCTGCTGAACTGCAGTGTCCACGTAGAATGCGTCAGTATTTTCTGACCAGCTAGCCCATGAACTGTCTCTCCCTGGGCATTCTTGCAAGTTCATGTTTTGATAAAAAGTTGGAAATCAACTTATCTAGATACAGAGGAAAAGAAGAACCTTAAGCTGCTCTGTCTGACCTGTGTGTCATTCCCTTGGGTGCACCTGCCGTGGTAGGGGCTTGCCCTGAGGGTCGGCCCCTTCAGGCCTCAGCAGCACAAAGACCTCCCTCCTGGTTCTGTTGTGCTCCTCTTTAGGCCGTGGTCTTGGAGTGGCCTTTGAAGCCCATGTGCTGGAAACCCAAACCCAAGGTCATGTGTTGGTGGTCTGAGGAGGGACAGGGTCAGGAGACCCTGCTGTCACCAGGGCCTTAGCGGGTCAAGGAGGACGTGGCATGGTTAGGAATATGCTTGCTCTGGAACACTTGTGAGGGCCATGTGAGGCTCTTCCCAGGTCATGGTGGGGCAGAAAGTCCCCACAAGAGCCCATGCTTCTGCGTTCCAGCCTCCAGAAGATGAGTCAAATAAGCTTCTATTCTGTCTCCTGCCTGTCTTCCTTCCTTTCTCTTTCCCTCCTAACCTCTATTCTTTATAAGTTTCCCAGTCTGAAGTATTTAGTTATAGCAACAGAAAATAGACTGAGAATAGGGGCATTTTAAAGAGCTCTGCGTGTGACCTTCCATCTCTTTTCAGAGCGGGTAGGTGGGCTGTCCATCTCATTGCTCGAACCTCGATGCCCCCTAACAGGTGCACAGACTGCGTTTACACAGCTGTCTCAGGACTGCTGAACTTCCTGTCACCTGGCAGTCTCATGTTCTCCAGGACAGCCCCCCACACTAAAAGCCTTCTTGTTCTTTACATGAGGACGTCTTAAGTGACCCTGCTCATGTCTCTGGACACCTCCTAGGTGATGACAGAGACACTGTCCTCCAACGGTGCACAGTGACAGTGGAGGCAGAGCCTGCCCAGTCCCAACCCACGTGTCAGGCAGGAGATCCCCCATTAGGGACATAATGGCATCTCTCGGTCCCTGATTGTTGAGAAGTAGAGAGGGATGCTTTTATAGAATGTGGTCTATTTGAACCTTCTGTTGATTTTGATTTTTAAAAAATTCCTAAAAAGGGAATTAAAACTCATTTACATATAATTATGTAATATCTTGTGATTTCTTATTTTTTTTGTTTCATTTTTTTTCTTTTTTACCTCCAGTGTTGGAGACGGAACCCAGCCTTGCACATATGCTCTACCACTGAACTATATCACCAGTCCTTTTTTTTTTTTTTTTTTTTTTTTAGAGAGAGAGAGAATTTTAATATTTATTTTTTAGTTCTCGGCGGACACAACATCTTTGTTTGTATGTGGTGCTGAGGATCGAACCCGGGCCGCACGCATGCCAGGCGAGCGCGCTACCGCTTGAGCCACATCCCCAGCCCAATCACCAGTCCTTATAATTTTATTTTGAGGCAGGGTCTTGCTAAGCTGATGGTCTTGCTAAGTTGTTGAGGCTGGCCTGAAATTCACCATCCTCCTGCCTCAGCCTCTCAAGTCACTGGGACCATAGGTGTGTGCCACAGCATCCAGCTACTCTTTGTCATTTCTTTTTTGTGTGTGTGTTCTTGTTCTCATTTCTTTCTTGATTAGGTTAGTAATCCCCTCTCCCCTGACACTACACACGTTTTAGTTTTTTTTTCTTTTTTAAAAGCAGCATTTTGAAATACAGTTGTCCCTTGGTGTCCTTGAGGGTTAGTTCCAGGACCCCCTGCAGGTACCAAAATTCAAGTTTTTGTGTAAAAGGCTCAGTATTTGCCTGTAACCCAGGCAATCCTCTGTGCAGTTTGCATCCTCTCTAGGTGGCTTACTACACCTCATACAATATAAATATTCTGTAAATAGCTGTTATACTGTATCATTTAGGAAATGACAAGAAAAGTAAGTTTGTTCATAGTTAATAGAGACAAAATTTTGGGAGGAGTATTTTCCATCTGAAGCTGGTGAGTCTGGGGTGCTAGACATGTGGAGAGGCAGGGCTGACTGCCAGCTGTGGTATGTTTTGATTTGGGCTCATTAGTTTCTGCACAGATCCTCCGGTTCCTTCACCTTTTCCAGTTTTTCAAACTGGATGTTTAAATGTCTTCAGGAACTCCTTTCTGTTTGCAGGTTTAAATATTCAGACAATGCCCTTCCCTCTTGCCTCAGCTCCAACTACAGCCCACAGACTCACACTGGCCTCTGGGTAGTCCTTCCTACAAAGGCTCCATTTGGTCTGGGCTCTTCCTTACATGCTATGGGAGCTGCCTCACTCTGAAGGTGGATGTACAGGGGACAGGTGGACCCTTCTCTGCACGGACACTCACTCTGAAGGAATCTGCTGCAACCCTGGGGCAGAAAGACCAGTACAGAAGTGCTGAGATGCTTGCTTCATAAATATTTAATAACCTTACCAAAGCTCCTGGCTCTCCTGCTGCATCTCCTCTGCCCTCCTGGGAAGCCCCTAAGCCTCCCCTGAGAGACCCACCTATGGCCCACGGCACCTCGCCTCACCTGGCTCTGGAGAGACTGCCAGGAGGAGCATAGGGACCCGGCAGGCTGCAGCTGGATTGAAGCAGGGCGTGCATCCATGAGGAAGCTTGGGGTGGTCTCGGTCCTCACAACACTAACAGGCCCACCAGAATGGCCACAAGGACACCAACAGTGACTTCCAGGATGGGGCAGAGAGCAGGGGTCGGCTGAGGAGGAATGGGTGTGATTTCTATGTTATAACGGATCCAGTTTGAGAAATAGGAGACCCGGGCATACACTCCAGGGAACAAGGGCTGGGTACATCCGCGGCCCCAGCTCACGATTCCAATCTGCAACCATGTGTGGTTGAATTCACAGACCAGTGGCCCCCCAGAGTCACCCTGCAAAGGAAGTGGGGTTTTCTGTTACTTGAGGGTCGAGGGCCTGCCTCTCAGGTGCAGGGAGGGTGGCCTCGCTCCCCACTCACATGGCCCCCTCCCTGGCGGCAGCAGGCCTAGAGCCACAGTCTAGGCCTAAGGCAGGTACGAGGTATTCATGCACCATCATCAGCACACAGCCATCCCAGGGTCCCTGCCCAGCCCCAACTCCAATCCTTCCGGTGGGAGCATACCTCGCACACAGTCCTCACGTTAAAGAGGTCCCCAGCACACAGCATGTCTGGCAGGATATAGGACGAGTGTCTGTACAGCAGTGCACACAGAGCCTTGGAGACCAGCGGCAGCTGGACCTCCTGCAGCTCATCCGTGGTGTGACCTGTAGGGTTCAGAGAGGGGCAGCTAGGTGAGCTCCTGGTCGGCAGGAGGCAGGGACAGCAGAGCCTCAGCCCACAAGGAACACAGCCCACCTGGGAGAAGACATGTGCCGGCTTCAGCGTGAGCTGCCCTTGTGCCTACCTTGCTGCGTGACCACTCCCCACCCAGTGGCCCAGCAAGAAAGGTTGGTGAGGTTCACATCAGGAGGTGCCAGGCAGACCGGAAGGACGGCATCGGAAAACACAATGCGGGTCTTCAGCTGCACCAGAGCCACATCAGCCCCCACGGGGTGGTACCTTTCGTAGTTGGGGTGCAGAATCACCTGGTTCACCTCAAACCACTGGGTGTGCTCGTTGGCCACCAGGAGGTTGACGATGCCCACGTACATGTCAAAGATCTGGATGCTCTTGTCCCTGGGGGCCAAAATGAAAGCCACTGCATGTAGCCTCCGCCATCAGCCTATAGACAGAACCAAGACTGGAAGGCGGTGCAGCCTGACCAGCAGAGGTACCCACAACAGGTGCCTAACTCAGATCCCAGACCATCAAGGGCCCCTGGCCAACAGCTCTACAAGCCAGACGCCCCCACATACGAACCCTTCCTTGCAACAGGCTGGACAGTACACACTTCCCACATCAGGCAGATGGCCAAAGGGGAGTCTTATCCCTGTGCACCAGGCAGCTGCTGTGGACGTGACTGAGGCTCAAGGGACAGGGCCTTGCTCGGTCAGCATCAGCGAGCATGGCTGGGGTGTAGTCTCTAGCGTGGGCACCTCACTGAGGCTCTGAGGTGGAGGGAGCTGCTGGTGTGGGGTGGGGTGGTGCAAGTGGGGACCAGCCTCCCGGAGCGGTCGGGGCCTCAGTGCAGAGAAAGGTTCTGCTCAACAAGGTGGACGCAACACCGTCGTGGACATGCTGTGCTCTGTGCTCCTGCCTCCCGGCGCCCTCACCTGCCGAAGCAGTGCGCGGCCGACAGCACCCAGTACTCGTTGAGGATGGAGCCCCCGCACACGTGGAAGCCGGCATACTGCACGCTGACCTGCCATGGCCACTTCCCCGGGGGCGCGGACACACCGCCCAGGATCTTGCCCTGCACCGCGCGCCGGCCACAGGCTGGGGAGAGACAGGTAGAGTGGGCATGCGGCGGGGCAGCGCGAGGGGTCTGATGGCTGCCCGCGCCAGGGACGGGACCTACCCACAGCACTGCTCAGGGAGTCCCCCGAGCTCTTAAGGTGTTGGTGGGCCGCGGCGGTGGCCCGGGCCAGGGGCGTCTGCAGGAGCAGAAGCACTAGCAGCAGGAACCCCAGGGCAGCGCGTCGGGATGCGCCCAGGCCGGATGCAGGGGCGGCCATGGAGGAGCCTGCGCAGCAGGCGAGTACGTAGTTGCAGGTGACAGCGCCCCCAGCCGGTGAGGGCGCGTGAGCCAGACACGTGACAGCGCCTGAGCCCTGCAGCAGGACATGCTCCCACCAATGACTGCAGCCCCAGGAGGACACGTGATGGCGCCCACTCTAGGCATGTGACAGAACACCCAGCCCAACTCTTGTAGGTGTGGCATTCCATCCCATAGTCACACCTCGATCTTCCAGCTCTGAGAACTTCTTACCCAGCCTGGTATCCCCAGCTTTCTCCGTGGCCAACTCAATTTGGTTGAATCATTGTCTCTCACACCTGTGCCATACCCTGTGAAAACCTTTTATTTTTTTAATTGAGGCTTCATTTACACACAGTAAAATATACTCATCCCAGCTAGTTTTGACAAGTCTTGTTATCATCAAGATACAGGATTCCAAAGAATTACATAACAAAAATGAGAAAAATTAGGGCAATTCCAAACAAAATCCTGGCATGGTCTTTAAATGCACTCTACAAGCTGGTTTTAAAAGTTATAATTCATGTTGGGTGCAGGCCCGTAACCCCAGCAGTGACTGGGGAGGGTGAGGCAGGAGAATCTCAAGTTCAAAACCACCCTCAGCAACTTAGTGAGACCCTCTCTCAAGATAAAAAATGTATGAAAAATGAAAGGACTGAGGATGTGGATCAGTGGCTGAGTGCCCTTGGGTTCAATCCCTAGTATAAAAAAATTAATAATTCATGTGGAAGGGTAAAAATTTAAGAAGAATAAGGCAGATAAAATTTCCCTACAAGACACCAAAATTTATTATGATTCTGCAGTAATTAAAACATTAGGGGGGCATAGGCTGGGACAGATAATGGAATTGTCTTCATCAGTTCAAGTTGCTATGACAAAATACCAGAGACTGGAGGGGATGTCAACAACAGAAATTTATTCTGCATTTTCTGGAGGCTAGAAGCCCAAGGTCCGGGATCCAGCATGGTCAGGGACTAGGGAGGGCCCTCCTGGGCTGCAGACTACTGCCTGCTGTTGCTGACCTCACATGGTACAGACAGGGGGAGGGTTATGACTTAATCCCCTCCTCAAGACCCCACTTCTGGATACCATCACACAGGGAGTTAGGAATTCAACCTATGAATTTGGGGAAAACACAAATATTCAGTTTATTATAGGAATGAAACCCAGAATCAAATCCTGATAGATATGGAGCTTCGATATCTAATTGCAGTGGTGTGTTAATCCACTTTCCATCACTGTGACAGACTACCTGAGAAAATCAACTTTAAAAAGGAAAGATTCCTTTTGGATCATGGTTTCAGAGATTTCAATCTACGGTCACTTGGTCCTGTGGCTTGGGACCTTTGTCAAGGAAGCATCATGGCAGGGGACACATGGTGGAGCAGAGTTGCTCACATCATGATAGCTAGGAAGCAAAGAAAGAGAAAGGAAAGGGCCAAGGGCAAGCTAGTGCCTTCAAGGTCACATGTCCCCTAAAGTTCCTACCACTTCTGAAGAGTGCCACCATCAGGAGAACAAGCCTTCCTTGGGGTCACTTCATATCCAGACCAAAACAATGACAAAACATAAAGCCATCTCCAGAAGCAGGAGACACTTATAATGCGGTAAGGACTCACCAGAACAGTGAGATCTGGGGAGCAAGGAGACAATGACCTTCCCCATCTGAGTGGGTGCTGCCCTTGCAGAAACAGCGGCAAAGGGGTCTGTCCTTTTGAGGCTACTGAAACAAAATAGGAGTTAGGACCCAGCAAGGGGTGAACTGTGGTCAACCACACCTGCTTCTGGCTGAAATAAAAAGGGATGCTCCCCAGAAATAAGGGTGAATCCTAGGTAAATCAGTCCTTTAATGGCCACAGCCCAACTCTGGATCAACTGGGTACTCAAACCTTGAACCTGGAAAATCTCAAGTTCTCAAGCCCTGAAGGCAACCGAAGGTAACTCCAAGTGGCTGGTGTGCCCATGCACCTGGAAAAAAGCCCAGTGAGCTCCTCTTAGGGCAATGAGAGCATTGTCCATGAGGCTAAGGATGTTTCACAGACCTCTTTTCCAGCACACGAGCAAAGATGGCCAGAAAGAAGCACGAGATGTGCACCATGACAGAGAAACAGCAGGAAAACAGACACAAGAAATCCCAATGCCTGGATCACCAGCCAGAAAACATGAAAGAAGGACGCTGACTATGAGTAGGCTCAAGGGGGTCAAAGGCTTGTCGACTGTTTGCAATGACTAGAAGCTGTAAATTTGACCAAGGAGAATGTGAAAAGAATCATCATAGAAATTATAGAAATGAAAAGCCCAAAAACCAAAATTCAAAACCACTGAATGGTTTTAACAACAGTTGAGGCCCAGATGAAGAGAATCCATGAACTAGAATGTGAGTCAGAAGAAACGACCCCCTATGGGAAGGAAAAGAGATGCTCAGAAAAGAAATGTGGACGTACTATGCTGGGTGCACGCACTTTTAAGAAAGAAAGTGCTGCTTTTATTTTGATTTTTTAAAAAAATAAAACAATAAAGCCAAGTTGTATTAACAGGACCAGAATGACCTTCCACCTGAAACAACTCCCACCCAAAATTTAATACAGGAAGCTGATGTTTAAGACCAAACATCAAGCAGTGAATGCTGGATCCCAGAGAGACAGGGAAGGAATGGAAATGGCCACCACTGAGCAACTCCCAGAACACAGCACAGCAGGACACAGCTCCAGGGCAGTCGGGGGAGGCTGACAGAAGAGAGGGGATAGCAGGACGGCCATGGTGGTCAGGTTCTCAGGAGAGGGCACCAGACGCAAGAGAAGGACAGAGAAAACCCTGGAGGACCAGAGAGGGCACCTTTGTGTTCTCAGCCTAGAGTTTGTCACATAAGCATATAACAAAACCACCCAAGGATGAAGAGAAACCCCAGGAGAATGAAGTGGAAAGCCACCCGGTACTCACAACAGGTGTGAGAGTCCCATTCACAACAGGCAGGTGGGAAAGGTTCCATGCCCACAGGACAGTGGCAGGTGTACCCGACACTCTCAGTGATGAGAACCAGTCGTCACTAGACCAGACCGCACCCACACCATCTAGGAAACCACAGAAGCAAGACCTGAAAAGACTTAACCGGAGTCAAGCCACACAAATGACTTCAGATTAAATTCAGGAAGATCTGTAGGAATTAAAAATATATATATACAGCACCCAGAGAGGTAAAATTCACAATGCCTAGCATGAGTTCAAAGAAACTAGGCAAGTAAAGAAGCAAAAACTCCCATCCCCAAACAAGGACAAATCACCTGCAACTGACTTCATTGTCAAAATGAGCAAACAAGGACATTAAAACATATCATGGCTGTATTCCATGAAAACAAGAAGTCACACAGAAGCCTAAAAGGCACTAAGAAGCACAACCAAACTTAGAAATGAATCCACAATCCTGAGGCTCACCCAAAGTCTTACAGAAAGCCTGAGAGGAAGGAGGATTGCATATTATAGGTACCAAGAGTAGGGCTGGAGGACCCTCTGAAGAAGGTCAGTGGTGGGTTATATAGAATAAGTGCTATAATCAGTGGGCTGGAGGGCAGAAATAGAGACCTTCTAAAGGACACACAAAGAGAATCACTTTCCAACAGTTTAGAGAATGGTGTCTGTTAGTCAGCTTTCTGTCTCGTGGCAAAGCCTGGGATGATCAGGCTTGGGATGCAGGTCTGGGAGACCCTCTCCTTAGCATGTGAGGGGCACCGGTTCAATCCCCCACAACATGGCAGGGGATGGTCCTAATAAAATCAACTTAAAGAAGGAACGATTTATTAGGGGTCATGGTTTCAGAGGTCTCCGTTGGTGCCTCCCTTGCTCTGGCCTCAGGTGAGGCAGGACAACATGGCACAAGGGCTTGGTGGAGGACAGCAGTCAGCTCATGGCTGCCAGGAAGCAGCAACAGGAGAGGGAGCTCAGAATAAGATGAACCTTCCAGGACATGCCCAGGGCCCACCTCTTCCAGCAGGCCTTGCCTCTCTAGATGTCCACCACCTCCCCAGAGCACCACCAGTGGGGACCAGTCTTCAACACACAGACCTTGGGGGACAGTCCAGATCCAAACAAAACCAATCAGAAAATGAGTAAGATATAGTAAAAAAGAAACATGAGGACTAGGGATGTGGCTTGGTGGTTAGACACCCCTGAGTTCAATCCCCAGTACAAAAAATATGAAATTAAACAAAAAAAGCAGGCACAGGCAATAATAAATGTCAGAGAAGAAAATAAAATAGGAATAAATATATAAATAGTTGGCAAAAAAAACCCACAAAGAAACAAGAGCTGGTTTTTTCTTGGTTGTTGTTTTGTTTTTTTAAATCACTAACATTGAGAAACCTCCCAGCAGAATGGGCAGGAGCTGCAGCTGAGGTCCACGCTGCCAGCATAGGAGGGAGTGGGACGTGGCCAACATCCAGCTGACAAGCAATGGAGGGAAGGCAACATTTGGAGCATGTTGTTTGGTGTTTCGTTTTTGGAACTGGGGATTGAACGCAGGGCTTTGAGAATGTGAGGCAAGCATGGAGCTACATCCCAGTCCCTGGAGCACGTTTCTGCCACCCAGGTGAAGTAGGCAAAGTCCTGAAGGTGGAACTCCCACAGAGCCCTGAAGAGCAGACACCTGAGGCATCTGTCAGCCATAATGAGGACGTTCTGTGGTGAGCACGTGGTGCAGAAGGGCCCTGAGGAGCATGCCACCGAACATGGGGCAAGTCAGACGAAGCTCACCCAAAGTCTTACAGGAAGCCTGAGAGGAAGGAGGACTGCCCCGTACCTCTGACACTAGAGAAACCAGAAGACACTGAAAGTAAAGGACGTTACAGAACTGTTCCTTCATGAAACCAATGCAACATTTCTCTACAATTTTTTAGCAAATCAAAGCTGAAGGACATGGACAGTAGGCCCCAGGGAACTTCCCTTACTATTCTTCTACCCACCCTCCTGCCCCACCCTAAAAGAGGCCACCACCAAAATTCCTCCCATGACCTGGCCCTGCTAAACCCATACCATTGTTGGAGCCCACCGCCATTTTCCCCTCAAAAATGTGTCCCTTCATTACTTAATAAAGCATTGCTGGTCCAGTGAGCTCTGCCACCATTTTATTTTTCTTTTTGTATTCCCTTTCATGTGCTGGCATTTGGGGCCAAAACCCAGGATGGAGATTTGGGGCTGTCTACCCTTTCCTGACCTAATGAACCCTACTATGTTTCATATTTCCTTCCAATTCCCCCTGCCTCTTTCCACCTTATACTCAGAGAAGGAGGCCCTCCGTGAGGCCTGGGCTAGAGTTTTGTTTCTTTACTGCCACAAGGATGGAGCAAGGACCCCTATGGGTGAATATTAGCAGCATCCCCTAATCCTAACTGCTCCAATTCTTTCCTTCTCTTATGTATTCAGACCTCCAGGCTGCTTTTTGCCATTTTGTTCCTGCCTGCAACACCAGGCTTCTCATTCTTTGGAGAGGTAAGTTCTCTTCTGGTCTCTCACAGAGGTGCCCTGCCTGAGACCCTCACCTTTTGGCTCATCTGGATACCAGAGGTCCTCCACCAATGGGATTGCAGAAGGGGGACACCCTCTCACTTTCTGGTGGTACTCTGGTGACAGGAGACATTAAGGGATGCCTTGATCTTGACTGACACCCCAGTCAAACCTCTCCAACTTGGGCACTAACCAGCCCATCCCACAGGATTCCCTCTTAGGTTGTCTCATTAAAAATTTCAAAATCCTCCACTTTCAATCTGATCTTAAAAGTAAATGCCTTATTAGGATGAGTACTCGGATCTGGCTGCAATATAAACTAGACAACCTTGTCGATGGCCCAAATTCAGAATTTGTGATATTTGACCTCCAAATCCTCCAAGACTTAGACAGTTTCCTCCAATGAACTGACAAATGGCCTGAGGTTCCTTACCTCCAAGCTTTCTTTTGCCTTTGCACAAGGCCCTCATTATGCCAACCTTGCTCTGCTCTCCAATTAATTCTCACTGACTCCCTACTCCATAAGCCCCCTAGATCAGGTCCTGACTCCCAGCCCTCTTCTTCATTTATTGTCCCCCAAGTAGCAGATAAACCCCCAACAAAAGTAAGTAAAACTGAAGGCTATAAAGGAAAGTTTCATAGATAGGAGTGCCTGATAACTATCAAGAGACTATTAAGGGCTGGGATATAGCTCAGTTGGTAGTGTGCCTGCCTTTCATGCACAAGGCCCTGGGTTTGATCCCCAGCACTACACACAACCCAACACAAACACACACACAAAGAAACTGTCAGAGTCATAAGCCTTTTTTCTGAGTCAATTTGAGATCTACAAATCTTCCTAACCTCCTATATAGGCAAGCTTGATCTGTGTTTCTGTGTCTGCTAGTATGATTATCTAGCCCCAAATGTATACCTCATATTGGTCTAAACAATGTAACATGGCACATAATAGTCCTAACGAACTTTACTAAGAAAGTTCTAAGTAACAGAAATAAAGAGATCTCTACTAAGCACAGAGGTTATGCTAATAGAAAGGTATTTTGTAAAAATCAGATGACATTAGATAACTACATCTTATGGGGGAATCTGTGACATTATAAAACTAATTATTGTGATAATCCTGGCAATGTTAAAGATTTACATTCCCAAATAAAGGCCTTATCCTCACTGGCTTTGTTATGGGAACAACTTCTCAGCTCTTGCACTTCCTGGTGAGATTAATAGTTTCCATCAACTTCATGATATTCATTGACCTGTTCTAGATGCTGTGATATTATTTTGCATAATCTCATTCCAGTCCTCTTGTCTTTTTGTTTCTCTCATAGAAGCACCCACCCCCAGATGACTTTACAACCCGTTCTTTCCAAACCAGACTTTTTCCATGGACACCTCGACAGACCCAAAACATTCCTAAAATGGAAACCCAAACTGGCCCCAGGTCATCCCATCTCAGCTCAAAGCAGTCAGAGCAGCCATCTTCACTTTTCCCTTACAGCAGTAAGATTCCCTTTCTCAGAGGGGGGAACCGAAGCCAGGAGACAAAAAGACAGTGTAGATAATAAATGATTGGGTCAAAAAGAAGGGGGCTGATTCAGGAGGAAATAGAATGTTCATATCTCTAGGACACTTCCGCCATCCCCACCTGTGGCCAAGATGACCTGCCTCCATGGAACTCTCCTCCTGGCAAAGAGTTGTTAACGAATGAATGCCCCCACTCTTCCTGCCTGTACCCCTGGGCTTTGTTCCTGCCCTGGGATCAGCCACCTGTGGCCCTCCTTTTGTCACTAGTCACAGGACGGAGAGAGAGAGGCAGGATGGGCGGGGGGAGCCTGCTAACTGTTGTGTATGATAATTCTATCAAGTGGGCCCTCTGTGCTGACCCCCACATGCTTTCTTTTCCAAGAAACAATTTATCTGCAGCCCTGCCTGGCCCCTGAGAACAGGATATGTCACATTCCTTAGCAAACTACCTGTTCACTAAAGGAGAACTGCAGACCCAAAGTAATATTGATAAGAGGAACCCAAGTATCTCTGAGGAAGATTTCGTGACCAGATTCTGAAACTCTGGTAGGTTCTCAAAGTAGAGCTCCCCTACCTTTAAAATGAGACAACCTTCTCTAGACTCTCATAATACACATTTTCTCCTGTACTCCCCTCATCTGGCAGGAAAAAGACCAGATAGCTGTCTCCTTTAACTAGAGTAAAACTAGCCCTCATCTGTCTGTCATATTTCAGGAACACAAATCATTTCTCTAGTGAAGATGTCACCCAGAGCACTAACAGACTTGCCTCCTACTTGAAATTGAGGCACATAATACGAGATCATGGTCCTGTGAATTTGAGGACCCAAAAGGACAAAAGGAACATGTAAGAAACTTTAAGGGCACAATTAGCTGGCAAATGTCCTCCCTTAAATTAAAATATTTTCAAGAAATTACTTATTATCCTCCATTTTGAGTGAGGCCCCAGCCAGAGGTCATGGAGGAAAAGGCAGAAACTGCTGACTCTTACAGTCTCCAGCATAGGGGAGCTGTCTTCTAGCCAAAGAAACATTTTTCTCGGCACAGGTGCCCATATTTCTCTTCTCTTTTTAAAATATTTGTTCAGAGGGGAGTCTCATCCTCAAAAGTAATAGTAGGGGATGATTTAATCACAGATGAGATAAAGGAGATGCCTAAAAATTTTCTGCCTCCAACGTGGCCTGATTACCAACTGGGGAAATGAAAAAGGGTCTCTGGAGGAAACATAAATTACAGGACCATACCTTAAGAGACTGATTTTACAAAAGAAAAAAAAAGTTAAAATGCAAACTCATGGCAGCAGCTTCCCTCACTTAGCTTCTGCCAGATCTCTATTGCATCAAGGCTTGTGTTGAAATGTAAAAATCGTGGAGGTCTGCTGGGCTTGCAGGGAGCTGATTTAGGACCAAAAGGGGTAAAAAGTGTTACTTTTAAAGCCAAGCCACTTGTGAGACCTAAATGACTGGTTTATTTCCCTTTTGCAAACTAATGATCTCATATATCAAGTCTTCTTTACCTTGAGAATCTTTACCTAAGGATTTCAGGGCTCTCTCTCACATTCTTTTAATATCTGAACTCTAATCTAAGCCAAAAAGTGAACTCTGATCTTATAACAGCCATGTTATTTTTCCCCCAGAACTCTTGTTTTTAAATTTTATATATATATATTTTGGGGAGAGGCAGGTAGGTACTGGGGATTGAACTCAGGGGCACTTGACTACTGAGCTCCAGCCCTAGCCCTATTTTGTATTTTATTTAGAGACAGGGTCTCACTGAATTGCTTAGCACCTTGCTAAATTGCTGAGACTAGCTTTGAATTCTTGATTCTTCCAGCTCTGCCTTCTAAGCCACTGGAATTACAGGTGTGCACCACCACACCCAGCTAAATTTTATATTTTTTTGAGCTCACGGTTTTATGATAAATTCGCATTTGATCCTGTGTGCCTAAATTAATATATTTTTTTTCCGATCAGTTTTATTTTATCTAACTATAGAGGTTTTTATATTCTGTCTTTGTTCAGGGGCCAGTTTTCAAGAAGTAGGTCTCAAATACATTGGGAAAACTTCCTCTTACAACAAATAGCTATGAGATCTCTGTCTCCTATCTGTTTTGTGTATGTGTGCACACCTATGTATTGTGGTATTGTATCTACATATGTGCTTATGTCCATACATAATGTACACGATAT